GAAAAATAATGACTTGAAAATTTTTCAAATTGATCAATTGTTTTTAATATTTGAGAATGTAATATACGTTGTTGAAGATAATATTCTAATAATCGTAGACCATCATTTGAAGATAAATTTATATATGTATCAAGAAATGACCAATATTCACACCAATTTATTGAATAAGTTTCTAATGCATATGTTCGTGCAATACGTTCCCAACCTTTTTCAGCATCACTACGAACAATATATATAGGACTTTTAGGTGATGATAGAAAATTTTGAGTACGACGAGCTTGACCACGTGTTGAAGATGATACTGATGTATAGAATTTCATTGCTATTTCATAAGTAGTTGGACCAGCAAAGGCAATTAATATCGTATCATTATCACATTCAATTGGTAAATTTGATAGCGCTTGTTGAATAGTATGTAGAAATGGTTTAAATGCTGTTTCATCGATTGGTTTTGAAATAATCTTTTCCATGGTTATTTTTCGACTATAAATCGGAATATAATATGTAGCTAAAATAAATCAATTTTAGGATAGAAAAAGAAGCAAAAAAAGAATGAAATTATACATTCAAATAATTGATGAATTTTTTTTTCTTTTGATTTATCTTTTGCTCGACTACAAATAATCTAAATAAATAAATAATTTGAAATATTTCATTTGAAATTAATCATAACTTACTTCTCGTGCAGTTGAACCAGCTTTGTTTACTGCATCTCTACTACAACTGGTTTCGTCAAGTAAAGCACAAACAGCATCATAATGTCCAAATTTTGATGCAAGATGAAGTGGAGTTTCATTTTGCTATAAATACGTAGAGAGAGAAAAGATCAAAAATGAAATTTGAATTTATTTTTTTACCATTTTATCTGGTGTATTTAAATACATATCAAGAATAAATTGTATACGTTTTTGTGTTTGTTCTTCGGTATCATTAACATAAAGACGACGAATAAAATGAACATTTTTTATTGTTTTTATTAATATACGAATTATTTCCGCTTGACCAGATAATGAAGCAACATGCATACTATTATATCGAACTGAAATCTAATAATTCAATAAGGTTTATTTAATATCAATAAAAATAAAGAAAAAAGTTTTACTTTAACAATTGTTGGTGAATCACCACTACTTATTAAATACCGAGGATTTGTCCAAACTAATCGTTCGAATTCTTTTTCATCACCTTTTTCAACAAGATTATAAAGTTTTGTTAATTCAGATGTTGGTACATCACTATATGGTAATTTTTCTGCATCATTACTTCCTGATTTTGTCACCTGTTCAATTGACATATTAAGATCATTAGTATCTGTTGTATTATTTCGACTTTGTTCAATAAAACTTTCTGCGTCATTACGATTAGCAAATATTTTCACTCGACTATTATGTTTACTATATTTTTTACATAGTGTAAATGCACTTTTCATATCATCAAAGATAAATTGATTTTCTGAAAAAAACAAAAACAATATTTGATTTTCAAAAAATAAAAATTTACCAGTAATTTCAACATTTGATGGAATCCAAACTGCATAATAATGTGAGATTATTTGTGTATTAGTTTCATTATGTGTTTCATCGTCATTTAAACAATCAAAAAATTGATCATCTTCATCTGTTGTTGTTATTAATGTTTCCTTATTTCGAGAAAATAAATTACCCATGAATCAAATTTTTATCTATCACATCTAATAGAAAATAGAAATAATTAAATGGTTGATATTTATTACTAATGAATCATTGGGCGTTTTTTGTTCGATTGACAAACGAAAAAAGAAAATTTTTGTCAATCCGATAGATATCGCCCATCAGCGAATTATTATATTTCAAATATTGCAATAGGATCAAAAATAAAGATTTAAATTTTTGTATAAGAATATTAATAATCTCTTTCAAAAATGCAGTATAATTAGCGAATTTACAAAGTTTATCAAACAAAGAAAAAAAAGAGGATAGTATCAATGTATCACTTAACTTTAACATCATTCATATAACAAAAGATTTTCTTTTTTGTTTTCTATCTATGTGTACGAAACAAAAAAAAAGAAAGAAAAAGAAAAAGAAAAGATAAAGAAATACAATTTTTTGTCGTTCGAAAGAGAGTAAGAAATAAAGATTTTAATTCGAAAGCACTGTTGTATTGTAGTATAAAACAGACATGCATGCGCAATATATATCACTCTGTCGTACATAATGAAGCTTTATGATTCGTATCTAATGTACTAACAAGTTGATCAAATTCTTCAACTTTAGATTCAAATATACGTAATTCTTCATTTAATTGATTAATTGTTTCTCCAAGTGATGGTTCAACAATAAATGATTCAAGCATTGGTGGTTGTTGACACGAACGAATAAATAGAGCTAGATCATCTGTTGAATCACTTTTACCAAAAAATGGTTTTACTTCAACAAGAATAAAATCATCTGGTGCTGTTTCATTTTCTGAATCACCACCCATATAATAATGATTTTTTGTATGCTGTTGTTCTTGTTCCATTGAATGTTGTTGTTGTTGATGATTATTTTCTTGTTGTTGCATCATCAGTACAAATGGTAAATCACTATCATTAGCACGTGAATATGAACCAACATTTGAAGGATATGCTGTTGTGCCTGGTGTGGCAAAAGCAGCACGTAATTTACTATAATATACTTTATCAGGTGTTCTAAATAATTAGAAATATAAAATAATTCTTTTCTTAAGATCAAATTTACCCATGACTTGACGAAACAGAATCACAGCTTGTATGTCTTCGTTTCATAACTTCAATAGGTGAACTTTTTGGTACACTCGAATTACTTTCTGATGGTAATTGTGCATCATTATCTCTAAAAATATTTCTTTAATAATTCTTATCTTTTTTTTCTGCAAAATCTTCTTACTCTTCAACACTATTTTGATTTCTATCTAATGAAAAATGATCATTTTTAATATCTATACCAAATTGTGTTATACCACTTATTCCATTCTCAATTTGTGGTGATGACATTGTTAAACGTGTACGATACGCAACATTTAATACAAAACGTCCAATCGGTGTAACTATACTTCCACAAGTTTTCTTCGAATAATGTTCACCAAGATGACTAACAATAGGTTCTCCGCTATACATTTTATAACAAATAATATATTTATCTGCTGATTGTTTACGTGATAATTGATATGTAGGTGTTGCACGTGTACAAGCAAGCAATGATCGAAGTACAATACTCATACGATTATATATATTAAATCGAACACGTTGTGATGGATCGGATACTGAATCATCGAATGATATACACCAGGTTTCTAATGTAATTGTATCACAATCTGGCGTACGTAAAGATATTTCAACACAAAATGGACAATGTGGAGGATCAATTAAGAGATGTTGGGCATCACCTAAACATTTCTTTGCATTGACAGTAACTTCTGGAATGTCTTTGATAGAAAGATGAAACTAAAATATATATATCAAATTATTCTATATCAATAATTTGCCAAATTCTATTTATTACTTACCCATTCATTACCTGAATAAACAGGTTTTGATTTTGTTGTTTTCTTTTCACCTAAACGTGATTGTACAATAATTTGTGCTGCTTTAACTAAGAAAAATTTTGTAAATTTTTCCAATGCTTCATGATCTTCATTATTCAATTGAAAATCAGACATATCTAAAACATATGTTCTATGTCTTCTTCTCTAATCAGATGTAAATGTAAAAGAATAAGAAAAAGATTTTGTTTTCTTTTTTTTTTTGTTTATTTTAATTTGACGATGATGATGAAAAAAACCAAACTAAAGCGAAAATGTGTGAGAGTTAAAGAAGGACTACGATAGTCTATCAATAGAAAAAAGGAGAGTCTCAATGAGCGGCTGGTTTTTGCATTTCTTCAGTAATACCAAAGTCACTTAAATCAACATATTGTCGTTCAGTTAATTTAAACCAATGGCCTATAAATACAATTGATAATCACAATTATGAATTATATTATTACATACCACAATAACATCGTTTTGGTTCACCACGATGAAGATGCATCCATTTCAAGTGATATACATCTTCATTACCTATCAATCAATAAATGCATATATATGTAGATTTTTATTTTTATTTATCAATCGACTTACAGATACAAGCCATTAGTCGTTTATCGTTGCAACTTGGTAATAAGTTTGGATTTTCTGGTGTACTGTTCGCAATACGTTTAACTGGCATCATATCGAATGGATCATCATATCCTTTAAATTTCTATATAATAAAATAGACGTATAAATAAAAATTAGTTCTTATAACAGACCATAGCATATTCAAAACGACGTTTGTTAAGGATAACATCCCATGGATTAGGAAAACCTTTGAATAAACAATAGATTATTGTATTGTTTTTAATAGATATGAATGCATCCACTTACGGACTTTGCCATCATCGGGTGGTAATTGTCGCTGACTCATTGGTGAACGATGAGGATCATCAGTTGGTGTTGAAACAGCTACTGGATCGTCATTCTTTTTATGTCCACCTGATGATGAGGCCTTACGAATAACAGCTAATGTATTAACACGAGGAATTGTACTGAGAGTAGCACAACGACTACTAGTAGCTAGATGAGCTAGCATATTTTTGTGTTTAAATTAAAAAAAACTATCTAAAATAAAAATTACTAGCAATAAAAACCACATTTACATCAAGAGTATGAAAACACGAGAACAAGGAAAAAAATGGATCGAGTCGATGAATGATAATAATTTCATTTTTTTTCATTCTTATTGGATAAATAAAGACCAATAGGATTTAATCGATCTAGTTATGCATTCGTAATTCTAATTCTGAAAATTATTCAAGATTTGATATACTTATGGTCAAATAACGTTCATTGATTTTATAAAATTATCTTTTAATTTCTTATTCATATGTTGTGGATCAGTCAATAGTAACCATATCGATAATGGCGGATTGAACATATTCTCCATAATCAAGAAATTTTCATCCCAGTTAATATTATTCAACATGAAAATTCAAACATATATTCTCATCTATTTTATTGCCATTGTACAATTGTATTCAAGTAATTTTTCTTTCAACTAAAATAATAATTTAATAATTCTATTCTATTATAGACGTTGTCTTAGCTCAACGTAGTTTTGCTAATCCTGCCGTTAGTGACCCAGCCCCATGTGCTTGTGATCTTCAACCGAATACTTGTGATCCAAATTGTTGTTGTGACTCTGTTCGTAATTTAATAATTTAAGTAAAACCGGCATTCATTTTTCCTTTATTGATTTGTCTAGAATTGTGACAGTAGCGATCTAAGTGTATCACCAGTATGTAATTCAGCACGAACAACTTCTTCATATTCATCTGCAGTGGACGAAAGTCTTCAAACATGGAATTGTTCGAATAGTACTTCTGCTGCTCTCTATGATTATTTTCCATTTGTTTGTGTTCAGGTATGATATCATAATTTAATAACTAATAGAAAGAAAATAGTATTGTTACTTAAAATAGTTAAAGCTTACTGAAGTAAATGGTAAATATTATTCAACAGACAATGTCTCGTTTATAACCACAGCAACTGACGCAACAAATTTACGTTTAAATTTTGTTAGTGAAAATCCAGAATTATTTCTAACAACAACAACAACAACAACATCAGCAACACCTACCTTTAGCGGAAAGTATATTATGAGTGCTCCTGTTTACCAAAATACGACAGCAGTATTTACATTACCCGGAAATTTAGGTGGTTCAAAGTGCCAGCAAAATGTAAACGTTTTATTTGGAGTTAATCGTGATGTTTCATGCACAACAATTACAAGTTCTGTATGATTTTCTTTTAAACTCAATATTTTCTTTATGAATTTTTTTTTCAGCAACTTTGTTCTAGTATTAATAGTGTAACATCAATTTTATCAGGCACTGGTTCAAGTTCGTCTGTAACCTTGTCTTCTTTCACAAGCACCTATGTATCAAACTCAAGTACTTCAACTAATTCTACAGCAGAATATTATTTTCAAAATCAGTATTCTTCAACTATTGCTAATATACCATATACCAATGGTACTATTAATGATTATTGTCTTGGTTATTATCCATCGACACGAACACAACGTTATCTTTTTGTTTGTGCTGCTTCTAATTCGAACACAGCTTGTGTTAATTCGCCTAGTTATCAAACATGGACTGGATGTCCATTAAGAGATAATTTAACATATAGTACGATTCCGCCTACTTTCTTTACTGCTCGAGCTACATCAAAAGATAGCTCAACAGGTTTTTCTGATTTTAGTAGTGCAACAACTACAACATGTATGTTCTTCGAAGTTTCTTTAATTTCTATTATTTTCTGTTATTTTTTTTCCATAATTTTTTAGTACCACTTTCATGCGCATCCCTCATTATTCGACGAGTATATTATCAATTTAATTATTCATCGATTGATAATACTATTCAAGCTGCTTCTGTACACGTCCAATATCAAAGTACTCTACTCGCAAGTCCACGAATTACGATTGAATGGATTGATATTAGTAACAGTACATCATCTACAGATATTCCTCGTAAAAACTATTTTTTATTTTTATTATCTAATAATCATCATTCCATATAGGTGGTTATCTTAATGGAGAAGCTCTTAAATTTTTACACAATAATGTCTCTTCAGATGTGTCGGTTTTTGTTCCTAGTAAGTTTATTGATAAAAAGAATATTTTTCTTAATTTATTTAGCTTCGAGTGGTTTATGTGTCGATGCTACACGACAAATTCTACATTATAAACAAAGTGTTTCATCATATTGCTCTATTCAATTAAAAGAAAGTACTGTACAACAATGTCATGATCTTAAGTCAGTTTTTTCTTTTAACAAAACTTGAATAACCTCATTTTTAATAGACTTAATATGTATCTCTATTTAAATATATTTTTTGCTCCGGCATCCGATGTTATTACTTATCCAAGTGGTACTACGACAGTTACAATTCGGTACATATACAAAAAAGAATCAGTTGATATGTAAATTTATATTTTAGGAATGCTACTCAAGATTCACTTGATCTCGATCGAATCGATATAACACGTGCTAATGATCGATTAGATCCTGTTACTATTGAGAAAACTTCAGTACAATCCAATCCTACAATTTATGATACAACAGCAAATCTTCCCGTTTGTTATGATGTTCCATCTGGTATTTATATAGAATTTGGTTATGTTCGTATAACTGTTAATTCAACATTTTCCTATGAACGAATTATTTCTGTTCAATACAGGTAAGTTCATAATTTTGTTTTAATTATTAGAAATATATCTTTTTTTGTTCCAAGTTATGTCTATTCAAATTGGCAATTTGATTGTACTGCAGGTACTTGTGATGGTACATCAACACAAAAATATCTTGTATCATTTCAATCAGCTTTTGTTGATTATACAAAGTAATTTCATTTTCATTGATGAAAATTATTTGATTAAATTTTATTTTTTAGTCGTGCATTGACTTCAAGCGATACAACAAGAGCGGATATAACTTCAGCTGATAATTATATTCAACATTTACTTTGGCTTATTACACCAGAATATAAAGGTGAACCTGGTTATCGAAATTATACAATTGCAATGATTCTCATTTTTATTGCAGTTTCTATTATCGTTATACATATTTTACTTTTTGGAATAATGTTTCCATTTTAAAAAAATAGAATTTTTTTTTTATGTTTTTTTCTCTATAGAAATGTTTAGTAATGTTTATTTAAAAAAAAGAAAGAAAGAAAACCAGAATAAAACTGCTCATCTTGTTCTTGATTATCATAGAAAGACTAATTATGAGTACATGTTACTTGTTTGTGTTGCTGCTAAACGAATCAATTGTTTATTTGTTTTGTCAGTTGATTGAATAAACGGTTTTAATGTTGTTGATATTCGATCTAAGATTCGTTGTAATAATTTTAATGAATCAGCATTAACAGATGCATGACGTTGATAAACAACAAGAACAATAACCGGGATGTTTGCTTGATGAAATTTTGTAAATACTAATTTGAAAATAGATATAAAATAAAAAATATGGTAATAAATAAATGACTTACAAGCAGCTGAAAGACCTCGAATTGCATTTGGTGGTTGAATTGGTTTGATTATTTGTGTAGTTTTCTCATCAATTGCAATTGTTGATGATTTCATATAACGTATAAATAAATTTGATTTATTTTCTAATTCACCTGAAATAGTTACATAATCCATACATAAACGTGATTGAATAATGTAAACCGGGTTAGATGTATTTAAATTTAACAAACTAAATTTGTTGATAATCTAATTTATATTCATTATGAAAAAAAATATACTGATAGTTTTCCTAAAATTGAAAAAATTACCTGTTCACTTATTAACCAAAGTCGATCTGACTTAATTGAAGAATTCAATTGAATAAGTATAAACGAACTTGAAGCTAACCGATAGATACGATCAACACTTTGTGTTGAATATTGTTGTACTTTAATTTCATCAAATGCTTTTGTTTCTGCATTCTCCTCATCCGTTTTTTTACTATCTGTTGCATAGCCAATTAATTCCATATCATTATTGCATAAGACATGTGTAAAAGCAAATGCTAAATAAATCATGATTAGTTTTATACAAAAAAAAACAACATTTCGTTTACCTGAAGCAGTTGCACCTAAAGCGATCAATAGAGTTGAACACGGAATTTTGATATCATCATTTTTTAAATCATCTCGCCAAATAATTGAAAATGGTAATCTAAATTCAATGAAAAAGTAATTGGCGAGTTGAGTATTTCGTATTTTTAAAGCGTTTACGATATTTACATAGTAAACACTTCAATGAAGTATTTCAAGAATACGCCTTTGTTTCTTTACTTTTAGCTATAAATTATTATTGCATACTTACTTATCCGGATCTCGACTTGATCGTTTTTGATCTTCTTCATCACTATCAATTGGTTCAGCTTCTTCCGATGTCATATCACCATAACCATATAGATTAGCCATCTCAAAGAAAACAAAGAATTTTTATAAAATCTATATATCAATACTTTATTTTTTCTATTTAAATACAAGTAACTATATATATATATATTTATATCTATAACTCGACATCAATTACAAAAATCTGACACAAAAGAAAATATTTTAGTCAGTTTGTGTTTGTTTTGTTATACTAGTTTGATCAATGACTACTGATTTTATTGGTAATGTTTCTAATTCATGCTGTTGTTGTTGCTGTTGTTTTTCAATAAGAGATTTTTTATTGATTTCATCTTTACAAAAATGTACAAAACAACTAACAGGTATCCAAATAATTAATGAAAATGTGATAATCATTCCGACAATATTTCCTTCAAACCATTCACCAGGTCGATTATTATTTAATGCATTTTCAATATAAGGAGTTTTTCGATGTTTACCACTTATTATTGGTACAGATGATTGTGAATCAATTGATTGTTGACATATTCCTTGTTGTTGTTGTTGTATCGTTTGATTTGTTGAATTATAAATATTTATATAATTAAAACAAAGATGTGCACGTCGTTTAAGTGCCGAACGTAAAGTGACTGGTACAAGATCAATACAATGTTGAACAACAGGTGATACATCTGTATTAAATTGAAAAAATCCTCTTCGAGTTGCATTTATTGAACATAAAGTTAAATTTAAACCCATTTGTCGAAAAAATAAATAACTTGTTTTCATTAAACCATTAAAAAATAATGAAAGATCTTTTGTTAAATTTTCATTCACAATTGATAAACCTGTATTAAGATTAATTTCATCGGATGCATTATTATTTATCGAGAATGGTGATGAACATATACCACCAATATCATATGTATGTATTGATGATTGATAACCAAGTATATAATTATCTTTTTCATTATCCGATAATAACATTTGATGAACAAGACAATAATTTTTCAATTGAAAATTTGTATTATTTGCTAACGTATGAAGTAAATCAAGTGATACATTAAAATTTGTTTCAATATGATTTATTAACGTTATACGTTCAATTAAAAATCCTCCGTATTCATTCCGTGTTAATGTACGTAATAGAAAATTATAATGTTCAATAAATGTAAATAGATAATATATATTTGAATGAAATATTTTTTCATATAATAATTCATCAAGAATTAAAGCTAATGAACAAAATGACATTGTTTTATATTCAAAATTATCGGATTCACATCGTAATGTTAATAATTCATATATAAAATGTAAATCATGTAAAATTATTGAATTTCTTTGATAAATATCTTCTTCCTGTTGTAAACTATTCCATAAACTATCGTTAACTAATTGAGGATAATATTGTAATAATTGTCGTTGAGAAAATTTTAATATGATTGTTGAATTTTCTGATGAGGAAACATAATAATAATATGTACCATTTAAATATATATAGATTTGTAATTGTGGATAAAGAATTAAACTTATACTTGAACGATCTTCATCGATGATATGACCAAAATAAGTAAAATTTTGTTTTATTGAAGATTTTATTGATTTATCAATGGAAATATTTCGTGAAAAGAAATGTTCATTTAAATGAATATTTATATTAAAAGTTAGATTGCAAAATGTTAATGATAAATTCTGATTCGTTGTAATAGATGAATCAATAGAAGGAAGTGGAATTGATTGATTACAAAGAATGTTTTTCGGTAGAAATAAACTAAATATTTGCGGAAGACATAGGAAGAGAAAAACGAAAGATACTATGAGATTCATGATCAATGATTTATTTTTACATCTGAAAAAATTCAAAAATAAAATTTATCTCCGATCAAACTGATATACCATAGAATTTACCTTCTATGACGACTTAGTAAATTTCATAATCTGAAAATGTTCGGTTAATAATGTAATACCAATAGCCATATTATAATCTAAAAACATGATCATTTATATACTTATTTATAGAAAAAAACAAGCAAGAACTCAAACTGTTTATGTATATATGTATATATATATCTTTTAAAAAGAAAAAAAGCCATTAAAATATTTACATAAACAAATAGAACCTAAGAATGAAATATTTTTTTTATTTAATCAGCTTCAGCAAGCACACGTTGTTTGGATTTTGTTGGAGATACACGAGTACGTTCACCTTGACGATGATGAGGTACATCTGGTAACTGACCAAGTTGATTAGCTTCATCAGCTCGAATTAATTCATCTAATTCAGCTTCAACATCTTGTTCATCAGCTCGACTTAAACCACCAGATAAAAGATTTGATACCTCCTAGAAAGAATTCATTAGTCAAGAAAAAACAAAAAATAAATCCTTCATACATTTTGGTATTCAATAGCTTCACGTGAATCTTCCATTAATTGTTCAATATCTTCAAGTTTAAGTATATCATTCATTTTTTTCAATGCATCTGTTCCTTGTCTTAAACTGTTAACAACATCTACTTGTACTTGAGCGAATTCTAAATCATGTGTCTAAAGAAAAAACAAATTAATGAATAATAATAATAATTAAAAGAAAGTATATTACCATTCGTTCAACATTTTCCAATATATTTTCACTTTTCGTTAATTGTGTTTCAAGCATCTTCTTCTTTCGAAGTAAAAGTAATGCACGACTAAAAATATTCTCATAAGAAACTTAATAATAAATAAATAAATATATTAAGTTACTCTTTTTGACCATTCTTTAATAATTGTTTTGCAACTTCACGTTCACGATCAAGTTGACTTTCAACACGTCGTCGATTTTGATTTAATCGATCACGTTGTTGTTTTAATTGCTAAACGAATAAACAAATAAAGTTTAAATAAAAAAACAAAGATTTTCTTTACCAATATTGCGCGATCCTGTTCGGTAATCGCTGGTTGTTTTGACGGTTTTGACGATTTCTTACCAAATACATTTCCCATCTAGAATGATTAAATAAGATAACGGATACTTTTTTTTTTATAACAATAAAATCAATCTTTTCTTTTTTTTTATGTTAAGAAAAAAATATAATTGTCTTTAATCTATTGTTTTTTTCCACCCCAAGAAAAAAATCCTTTGACATAACTAGTAAGACCAGCTTGCTGTTGTTGTTGTCCTTTATCATTCATTGATGATATAGCTTGACGTTTACTTTGAACTTTATCATCCAATGAGGGAAATGTTAGATGATTGAGAGCTAAATCGAAAAACACCGGTTTGCATGGAATGGGTTTAAATGGTGGTGGTAATGAAACAATATTAAGACGATTTTTATTTGTTAATGATGAATCTTCAAGATATGTATCCAAACGATCAATTAATGGCTAGAAGAAAAACAAATGAATTGTTTGAAATAATGTGTAAAAGTTTTACTTTTTTCTCTAATTCTTTCTGTTCTTCAATTGATAGAACCTCATCGAATGATTGTTGTAATGCACCAACCTTTGGTGAAGCACTACCAGCCGGTGTTGGTGTAGCCGTTGTAGCTGATGTTTGAATTTGATATTTAACTTCATCAAGTTTCGATTGAATAACATTAAATTCATTCAATAATGTCTTGAATGAAATAAATTTCTAGATTTTAAATTCAATTTCGAAAATTATTCATACTTGATAATTAATTTCACTTGATTTCGGTTGTTGTCCATCACTAACTATTTTCTTAGCTTGTTCCATATATATTTCAGCTTTATTAACTAATGCTGCCGATTCTTTATAACGTTTTGTTTGAACAAATGAAACTGCTATATAAAATGATCTTTAAGAAGAAAAAAAAATAGTTTTTCTTCTTCTTTAATTATGAATCAAACCTGCAAGCCTTGTAAACAATTGTTTGAAAAGCAACATCCGATTGAATTGTTTTATCAGCTTGTAAAGCTGGTATTGCACTTATATCATTTAAAAACTAGAATTTTTTCGTATTATTTCAAATTAAATACTAAGAAAAATAATCTTACTTGTAATAATAAATCATACATTCGAACAATATCAGCAGATTTTGTCACCTTTTTAGCTGATGTTGCATCAGTCTTATCATTATCCGATGTTGTTGTTTTGAATGTTTGTTGTTTAGCATTATCAATCATTGCTAAATTACGTTCAATCATTTTTGAAAGACGAATCCATGCAATGTAACTATAAAGCCAAACACCATCAGATAATTTTTCATTAGTTGAGGGTGTTGCACCACCAGCTGCTGCTGCTGAAGCTGGAACAGGTTTGAATGTCTTTGAAAAATAAAATAGAAAATCTTGAAAGGAAATTATTGTTGTATTTAAAATACTTACAGGATCATTTTTAAGTTCATCTTTAGCTATTTGTAATGTTTCAACTGCTTCTTTAAGAAAACTTTCGTATAAACTCATTTTAGTGTCAAATGAAACACCTGATTTCTATAAATACATAAAAGTTTTTTATAGTATTTAAGTGAATTTTTATATTAATTTTACTTTGATTTCAGCTTCGAATTCTTGTAAATTTAAAAAGAATAATCGAACTTTTTCATTTGCAATTTGTATTTTATGTTGTCGCCATGTTACTTCTGATATTGTTGATGTTTGTTGTTCATGTGCTTCGCTAAGAAAAGCCTAACAAAAAAAGAAACGTACAGTGATAATATTATATTTTAATAAAAAAAAATTATATGTACATCAAGAATACGTGTCATTTCAGGATCATCAAGTGCTGCTTTAGTTCTTAAATTTCTTAATTCTTTTGCAGCATTTTTATCACCACTCTTATATTGACAAAATCGAACATTCGTTGTTATTTCATCAATACGTTGATCAATCATTTGTTTATCATCTTCACTACGAACACCTGTTTTAAGTTTATCATAAATTGTTCTAGTTATAATAATAAAAATTAATAATAACAAATTCATTTCAGATCATGAAACTTACTGTGCACGAACATAAAATTCTAATGCATTACTCCATTGTTGCATTTCAAATTTTAAATGACCATTCATAACAGCTGTATAAGCCTAGAAATATATAGGAATTAATAAATTAAATAATTTGTGTATGAAATACGAACTTGAACTTCGAGTTTAGTACGAGCATCGCATGTTTTTTGTTGATTACATAATGCTTCAAGTTGAGCAGCGTGTTTAACTGCTTTACGAAGACGATTTAAAAGATGAAATTTTTTTCGAGGTTCACTATTTGATTCAGCTAAAATAAATTATTAATTAAGTTTTACTATCTTTTATTTATCGTCATACGTACTTTTAAGTTGCATAGCAAAAGCCCATGCACGCTCACTACAAATAAGTGGTAATAAAAGATATCTGAAAAGAAAATATATTAAATTAGTTTTAGGAAAAACGATGGATATAATAACCGTGAATCTTTTGCCACAAGTTCATCAGTAATGACAGGTTTTTGAAATTTTTTTTGATTGCCATAAGTTGCTTCAAGTGATTTCCGTATACGACGAAGACGACGAGAGCAAAATGATCTTAAATATTTATATAAAAGATACTTTAGACGAAAAAAAAATGGCTTTTCTTTACTCACCGATATCGTTGATAATCACCATGACGAAGACCATGTTGTTGTTGACAAAGTCGAATGATACGAAGGACTAAGAAAAAAAAAGACTCGGTTACATAAAATCAATCAGAATCTGATAAAAAAAAACATATACATACTATCGAGTTTTAATGGAGGTGCAACTTTTACAGGTTGACTAGTTGTACTTGTTGTAGATACATCACTCATAGGTTCAGAGGATACTGGTTGAGACATAATGTTAAAACTAAAATCGATACTGATCTAAAAGAAAAAGTGCACGTTTCTCAAGAGACTTAAACATCGAGAATATCGACAACACGACACCCATATACAAAGCTAAATATATGTTATTGGTGTTTGAGAAACACGTCTATGCATCAGATGTCGCTAGTAATCAATAGGAGTAGAATGATCTTTTCTTATGCAAGCAATTTCACAGATAATTGTCGTTTCATAACATTTCAATCTGACAGTTTTATTTATTGAGACATTTCGTTCAAAATATCAATATTCGACTATATCGCAAAATTGAAGCAATTTATTATTACTAATGAAAACCAACCATTGATTAGTATGCAAAAATTACCATACATATATACTGAAAGAAATTATCGATCTGATCAATGACATTTTATTGCGTTCTGACTGTTAACATTCTTTTATTAGAATAAAACTTTTTTTTTTAATGTTTTTTATTAATGATATTCATAATGACAGATAGATGCAAGAAGAAAAAAAAATTAAATTGCCACATTTTGCATCTGCTCTAATAGCGATTGATTCAAGGAAAGATCTTTTTCGACTTGCATGATGTAATCTTGTTGCACTGCTAAATACAGATCAGTATACTGTGTATTATGCTCCATGAGATAATTCTAAATAAAATGAAATCATAATAATAATATTAAAGTAAATTTAATATGTTATACCTGCATATTAGCTTTCGATTCCATATATTCAAGAACTATTCTATATGCTTCATTTTCAATATCTGTTTTAGTTAAATCATTGTTCATATCTAGATAAAATTGATATAAAGAATAAATAAACAATTTTCTATATATTCTTACTTTGATTTGTCAATGTTACGATCATATCAGCAAGTAATTGATCATAATTTTCTATTTGTCCTTCATCTTGTTGTTGTAAATCATCGATTTCTTCTCGATGTTCATCACTAAAAGAAATTGAATCAAGTTCACTTGTTTCATCATGTCCATTTGTTGTTGTCGATGGTGTTGATTTAAATTGAATTTGTTCATCATTATCATCTTTCGAAAGATATGCTGATAATAATTGTCTATTTATTGTCATTTGCATATCATCTGTAAATCGTAAATATTGACATTCAAGTTGTTGATTCAAATCATTAAGATGTGTTATATTTTGTGTAATATTTTTCAATTGTTCTAAACGTTCACCAATTAATTTGGTTTCCTTTTCATTATCATCCAATTCAACATGTAAATTATTTAATTTTAATGTTTCATTATTTACAGTCTAAACAAAAAAACAATATATAAATATCCGATGAAGAATATTTAAATTTACTTTTCGAAGTTGTTCACATGTTTCTTCTAATTCTCTCATTTCTTTATCTTTAGCTTCATTTGCACAGACTTGTTTTCGACGAGTTGTTACTCTAGAAATAAATAATTAATTATTTGCTTTTCTTTTTTTTGCTCTTACACATACTTTCCTAACTCAACAACTTTTCCTCCTAATAAAGTATTTTCATCCGAAAGACATTTTGAATCATGTTCATATATATTTAATTCATCAGTAAGATAACCATGAACTTCATGTCGAAGTGTATCCATAAATGCACGCTAAAAATAACAATTGATGAACATCAAGTAAAAAAAGGATAGTTATATTTTTATACTGTTGTTTGAAGATCATTGAAATGTTTATTACAAGTTTTTTGTTTCGCCCATAAATGTTGCCATATTTTTTTATATTGTTCTGTTAAAAATACTTCGTAACTTGAATGACATTCATATAAACGATCAAATTGTCTAAGTTCATTGGAAGAACAATCTAAATAACGAAAATACATTTTGTTTTTGCATTTATGAGAGAAGAAATCGAATATTTACTATTAGTGACAATATCATTAAAATCAAAATGTGGTATAGAAATTAAATCATGATCAGTCCAGGCTATTTCATCAATAATAGAATTTTTTGTTTCAGAAGAAATATATATTTCCGATGGAATAGACATTGACCATGGATCAATAGTTGATGGTGGATCGATATATACATTATCATCATTATCATCCTCTTCATATTGAGTTTGATGTGCGAGAAAATATTTTTGTTGAAATGGTCCTGTTGCAGAATTTCGAGTACGTTGTCTTGTTGATAATGATTGTGTACGAGGTAAAATATCATCTGTAGATGTAGTCGGTGCAGCAAGAACAGGTGAATGAACATGTTGACCACTTGCACAAGAAGCTGATGCACATCGTTGTCGTCTTTCATTTGTTGATGATGGTGAACTATCATCAAATTGTTGTTGATAATGTTGAGCTTGTTGATTATCAAGGCTATGTTCAGATGGTGAAACATAGAAAGTTGCTTGACGTGATGGTGGTGGTGGTGCAACAACAAGAAGATTTGCATCATAACGACCAAGAAATTTTCTCCAATGAGGTGGTATGTTATCTATGAAGAAAGAAGAAACAACAAAGTTTTTTTTCTTTCTTAAAACTTTCTTTCAACAAACTTTGATCATATATTGATGAAATTGTATCAATAACTGATCTGATATAGATTTGATATTGCTGATCAGAACGACGAATTACTGGAGTTGATGAAGCAGATGATAATAGATCGCTATTACTTTGTAATTCAGGCATTGTTTTAACAGCACGTATATCTGATCCAAGTGAAGGTGATGGAGATGCTAAACTAGATGAAGAAACATTAGGAATTGATAATATATTATTAGGATTATTGGTAGTTGTCATGACACCATCGGGTGTTGAAATTGTAGTTGCTGGAGTTGATGATGATGCTGGACGAACCAAAGATTTAATTTTTTCCTTAAAAAAAAGAAAATTAAAGATCAATAAATAAATAATATTAACAAACTTTAAATTTTTGAAATGGTGAACTACTTTGTCGTTTTGAAGCATTCTCTTCTAAAATCAAAAAAATATTCAAATAACTATTTACTAACAAAAAATATTTTTTACGTGGTGTAGCATTATCATTCATATTTCGTAATCCATCACTTAATTGATCAATGGATCTAGCTAGAGATTGTCCTATAAAAATAAATTCAATAGAAATTTCTCCGAATTCTATTTTATTATTATTCTTACGTTTAAATTGATAAAATGGTAAAATTTTCTTCATTTCTTGATGCATCCAATTATTATCAGTTGGTAATTCTCGTCCAAATAATGGATCAAGTGAAAGTTTTCTTGCTTCATATATAATATTATAAGTATCTTTTTTTAAACGTTTATCTTTATCTAATTCACGTTTTCTATCACTTTCAATAAGACGTGGATTAAATCGAACACGTTGAAACATAGGTATAAAAATATTCTCAAATACATCAAGATTTTCATTTCGTTGAAATTCACGTTGAATTTGATATAAAAAATTACATGGATATGCTGTATAAAGTGTATAAAATAATGCATGTGCTGATTGATTTACAATCCATAATTGAACATTATTAAGCGAATCTAACAAAAAAAAATACAACATAGAATAGATTTTGTCAGCTGAGAAAAATATTGTTATATTACGCGAATGGATTTGAACAGAGAGTTGTTGTAGGGATTTATTATTTTTATAAAGATATTTGCATGTAGATTTAAATATATTAAGAATTGAATCTGTTTGTTGAACAATTTCACCAGGTAAAGTAGCAGTTAATGCAGCAAAAAAATAACAAGCTTGTGCCAATATATTTGGATCATCTTTACACTAAATTTTTAAAGAAAAATAAATTTTAGAATTAAAATATTCGAAATATTCTTACCTTTGTAATTGCATGAAGACAATTTGGAAGTAATACACTATCTTTAATAAGTGTTGGTAATCCAGGTACTTGACTATGAATAATTAAACATAAAATACGAAAAACTTTCATTGTATGAGCAATTTTTTCTTGTTCTTCATGTGAATTAACTTCACTATTTGAATAACGATTACATTGTTTTAAACCTTGTGTATTTAAATGTTCAATTAGAATCTAACAAAAACAATAAAAAAAATAAAATTCAAGTTAATTATTTACTAATTACTAACTTTCGATTGTTCTTTTCCTGCTTCATTAAATTGTTTAATTAGAAGTAATGCATTTGATGATTCCGTTTGAAAATAATATTCAATTAATTTGATGAGTGTTGGTTGATTTGTTTGTTGACATTCAGACATAAGAGATTCAAATACATGTTGTCGAGTCGAAATTGAATTCCGCTTATTATCTAAGTCGGTAATCATCTGAAAAAAATAACAAAGAAAGATTTCTTACAGATGTCAAAGTTCTCATCAAGATATAATATTCTTTTTTATTCATATAAAAACAAAACGTTATAGAGTATAAATCTATTATATAACAATATGTTCTTTGCACTCAGTATTCTATTTCTTACTACAATATGTTTCTCATCCGCTGGCAAAATAGATCATTGGTCAGTAGGTAATATTATTATAACTGATCCAGCAATACGTTTTCGACTTGATATTTATTCTCCAACAACACCTGGTTCTTATCCAGTTCTTATTTATTTACCTGGTCTAGCTGGTTTAGTACCTACAACATTTTATACAACAATGGTAACAACAATTGCTGAACAAAATGTTATTCTTATAGGAATTTCCAAAATTGAAAATATAAAACCAGAAAAAATCTCTATACATATAGCTACTTTTCTTGAATAGATAATAAAACCGAATGATGGTGCTACTCGTCTTTTTACTGAACATAAAGCAGTTAAAGATGTTCTACCAAATATGAATCGACTTGGTTTTCTATCACATTCATCTGCTGCTCATTCACTCGGTCAATATCTCAATACAACATGTGGTCCACTAAAATTAATTATTATGATGAATCCTGTTGATGGAATTGATCCATTTGGTATTGTACAAGATTTTATTACACGTATAGAAAGAAAAAAAAAGATTAATTTAATTTTACTCTATTATCTTATGTTAAGATCCTCCAACTCCACTTCCATTTCGAACACCTACCCTAATAATCAGTGCTGGTCTAGGTAAAAACTGAACCTACTATTATCTTAGACTCTTTTTATGTTTCATATAATTTCAGATAATGTCTCTATCGGTAAGAAAACTCCCGCATGTGCACCAAATAATATTAGTAATGATCGATGGTATCGTTCGTTATATGGACCCACATTTTTTATTAATATAACAGACTATGGTCATGCTGATAATCTTGATGAACCATTTCATGAAGCTAGTAAACTTATGTGTACACCATGCAAAGGTTCTATCTGTCATTTTTCTCAATATAAAACTGATGAAGCAACATTAATTACATCTTTTGTTCATGCTATATTCGGTCGTGATCTTCAACAACTTCAAATTATTAAAAATCCACAAATTTATCTTCAAAGTCATGTTTTAAACAAATATAATTTGCATGGTTATAACTATACTTTTGGAGGACCGGGTGGTTTCTGTACCCATGATTAAAATATAACAATAAAAAAAAGGAAAAAAAAAGAACTTTTTTAACTTTGTCCTATCTTATTTCTTGATTGTATAAGTTCCATAAAGACCATGTTCTTTGTGCCATTCTTCAATGCTGCCACCATCTGGATAACGTGGATAACTTTGAATATTTTTTCCTTTTGGAACTTCTACATGATTAAGTTTGAAATCTGTCATTATATGAATATATTCATCAGGTATTGGTAATGGTGTATCAATGGATGATGCAAATGGATATACCCATTGTGGATAGTCATCACAATGAGCCCAAAGATATGAAGCACATTCACTGCAGAAATGTCGTTTATGATTGCTTAATTTAGTACTTGATTTTTCTTCACTACCACTTTCAGTGTCACATAATTTAACTTGATAAATTTTAATAAATTCTTTGCCTTGTTTAATTTTCAATGTTGGATATTCACCCATAATATTGCAATTAAATACACCAGCTGTTTTTGTATCAGCTAGACAATGACATATCATAAATGGATAAGGAGTATCTAAAAATATTAAGGAATAAATCATTTCATCGATATACATGTATATACATACATGAATCAACTGAATATTTCACACGTTGACAATGACAACTTCCTTCAAGTGTTATTGGTTTTGGTGTTGATGAACTCATTTGAAAGACTTTTATAATACTATTTTTTTTGTTCTAAAATATAAATATAAGTTTGAATCATTGTTTATTTAAATTTGAGAAAAAAAAA